CAGTATTTTGCTTGTAATTGTTTAAAATATATTTATTTGTATATAACAACTACAGTAGCATTACATTTGATAGCTGGATGGTTGCAATCTTTATTCTATATTTACATGATATAGTTGGAAACTAATTGCTCTTGGTGGTTAGGACAGAAGGGAGGGTGTATGATTGTTGATTCAACAAGGAAAGGGAAGAGGTTTCCAGATAGTATGTCAAAGACAATACCGATTTGGACCTGTGTATTGAATCGTGCCATTTGGAATTACAGAATGAGATTTGGTTTGGCTGGTACTGCAGAAAAGAAAGTAAGAACAACTAATTATTTTGGTGCATAATTATTTCTTAGGAATAGAGATAGTTTATTATCTTTTTATGTCAAAAGAAAGTTTTTAGTTTTGTGAATGTCCTTGTTCAAGTCGCAAAAAGATCTTATGTTTTTTTTCCTCTGAAAAGATTAACTGTAAGTTGGAGGAAGAGGAGAATAAAATATCTGTTTTCTTCTTTTGTCAGCACTATTATTGTTCTCTCAGAGAATAGAATTAGGATTAGAGGTCATGTACTTTCTGAAAGGATAAAAAGATATGAGGAAATATTGAAAAGAAATCCTAGGCTTGTGATCTGTGAGACTTTTTGCTTGTCCGTTTTCCAAAAGATATTACTGTTGGCTTTCTTGTCAATAACTGCATTGGGCCCAAACTTTTATGTGTGATGTGCAATGCAGACTTGCCATTTAATATAAGGCGTAACTATGTCCCCGCCATACACACAAAAACGCCAATATGTTTTGATGTACTTATTCATGTTTTTTATGAATTCTTTTGAGCAGGAGACAAATGATTCCACCAAGCGTGGAGATAGTATTAGTGACTCTTATAGCTGGAATTGTTCCTTGCATCTCCCTTTGTGGGTCTCAAATACTGAAAGAGCACTTATTGAGGAGCGTTTAGACGGTTGGACCAAGGATCTGGAGGTCAGTGGAGCTGATATTGCTTCCATTGCTTTGTCCCTGAAAAAACCGCTACGCCCACTATGGATTTCACAAAAAACTGTGATCTGGTTAAATGAAGTACCTGATTGTGATTCTTGGGACTTCACTCCAATATTGCTTGTTTCTACGTCCTCCCCAAGTAGCAACTTTCAGCAAAGAACAACCTCTGAATTTAGTTGGAGGTACATAGCTGGAGCTGGAGATGATGAGGAAAGTTGGGCGAGGGGCTTGTCACCAAATCTTTTTTGGAAACATGCATATGATCTCATAAGCTCTGGTCCTGATATGTGTAACAAGAAGGTAGCTGATATTATTGAAAAGGACAGGGTATACCGTGCACAGAGGGGAGAAAATGCTCCTCAAATATCTATTAAGCCTTCAAAATCTTCTATGAGTAGTGGCCGTTTGCCAGCGGAAGAACAATTAGACCTGGAGCCTCAATTCATGAACATAGATGAGAAGTCTTCTGATAATAATTCCATATTTTGGCTGGGGGAAAGTAATCTAGCAGTTGGCACAACACAGCTTGGTATGCTTCTTATGCACCCCTATTCTTGTGAAGTAATGAATTTATACTAGTTCTGCATGGTTATTGATGCGTATAGCTTCCTGTTGATTGTCTCTGTGACTAGCCTATCGTTTTACTCTATTTTACATGTGGTTTGAACTTGTGGTGTGTCATGTTATGGACTGGAATTCTTTTGGTGGCTATGCATCTTTTAAATTTGTTGGCGCAGGTAAAATTTCAACCAATTTTACTTTTTAAAATTTTAAATTATAAGTGGAGGTTGGTTAACCACTTGGTAGTCAAAACATGGGCTATGCTGTGAGATCTGAATGCTTTGTTAGTTATTTACTTCTTTAAGTGGGGAGTGCTTATCCATTTCCCAGTACTATGCTTGAATTTCTGAGGTCTAATCATCATGACAACTTTCTTTTTCCCCCCATTTTGACCCTGTAGATCTACTTTTAAGCATCCGTTTCTATTTGGCAGAGACATTCCCAAGTAAAGAATTGGCAAAAGTAGTATGCAGGCTTTTACCTTTGGTTAGTTCCTTAGAGAGTGTAAATTAATTTTCTAGTATACTGCAGAATTGTCACATTTTCTGGATATGAGTAAGATAATGCAGACTGCAGATCATAAATCTCCTTTTTGTTTTTCCGTGAAAGTTCTAAAATTATGTTTCTGTAAGCAGATCGCATCAGTATTGTGCATGTCCATTGCAAATTCATGTAAAATGATTAAAAAGCCATGTCCTGCCTTTCTCTTTATTATTCTCGATTTGCTAGTCATTTATCAGTGCCATTGGTTTAATTTTGTCACGAACCTCTTGCAATGGTCACTCTGATTGAAGATTTACCATACAGCTAAGGATGCATCTGGTGTTGATTGTGTGTTGAGTTGTGATCGGGAGTCCAATTCTCTTTGTTCCAAGGAGTCTGAAGCTTATCTAAACCTGTCTATTGTGGTGCGTATGATTTCCTTAAGTTAGTTGCTTAAATTGTTAGTAAATTTTTAACTATTGTCCAATTACCTGATTGTTGGCATTAACTCTTTTTTCCCCCTTTTGGGGTTTGTTTGTGTTGATTGGCGGGGGGTTGTGGACAATACAGAGCTCGAAGTTTGACCGATTTTCTTTATTAAGGAATCTTCCTTCAGCGGTGAATTTTGCAAAGAACAACTTGAAAAAAGGGCAGAAACTCCTAGTTTGCTGCAGTAGTGGTAAGTATGGCTTTACTATGTCGCCGGGTTTGTTTTCCACATGCCATTTGACTTGTACTCACTGAAGGTGAAAACTGAATATATTTTGCTCGTACATCAAATTTCGTGTGCGGGATTGTAGGGGGTGGGGGAGGGTTTTGAAGACGAGACTATGTGGCAAGTCTAGCATGAGCTGTCTTTGAAGGTGATAAGGCATGAGACAGAAAATAGGGGGAGGACTTCTGTCTCCATTTTCACCACTTCATGAATTAGTTGCCAAATCCATTGACCAAAGACGTTACAATAATCAACTTGGTTGGTTATACTTTAATGGGAGACTTGTTTTGTTTTGCATGTTATCTGGCAGTTTTTCTTAATATGCCAATTTATTCAGCTGTTGCTTTAATTATTTTTGACTGTAGTGGCAAAAGACAAAATATCTCTGACAAAGTTATTTCTTTGTGTTTTCAGGGGAGGATATTAGCATTTGTGTTTGTTTAGCAATTTTGATGTCATTATTTGATGACAGAGGTATGCGCGGGTATCTTATTACAACTTTATGTCCTAATTTTGACTGTCTTAACTAACACAAAATTCAACTACTGTTACCTTTAAGTATCTAACTTTGATATACCAATTTTTAGTGCTCTGTCCTGCAAAATTTATAAATTGTTCTGTATCTTCTGGTTGTCTCAAAATAGTCTAATATTTGCACTTTCCGCAGGGCACTTTGATGAAGGAAGATTTTTCAGTGAGAGACGAGTCACTAAGTTGGAGTTGCGACGAAGATTGGTATTTATCTGCCAATTTGCTGTGAATGCTCGCCCATCAAGAGGGAATGTTAAGCAGGTCTTTAATTATCTCAGTGGAGGAAATATTGAGACAGTTTGTTAAGAAAACGTACTTTGCTTCCATGCCTTAAAACTTGATCGCCCAAATACAATTTAAAATGCTACTCAGATCACAGATGTGATTGAGCTCCGGAGGAAGAGTAAAGCTGCTATATTCATCTGGTTTTTCTTGCTTTTTCTGTTATCGTTTGAATAAAGCAGTTCCTTTCATTGGGAGTTCTGTCATCTCTCCAACGCACTTGAAGCGATGTTTTGTTTTCCTAATTTCTGTCAAGTGCAAGCTGAGTAGGTATGTGAACGGCCCTTGCCAGTGGCAGATGTACAATTAGTTGATCTTAGATATATATATTTGAACGGTTCTAATCAATAAGTATTTATGCGAAGTTTGAACATATTGTAAGAAAAGAACTTATAGTAATGTGTTACTTTGCATCCAGCAGACTTATCCAATTGTCTCAAGAGCAGGACATTGCTATCACAGCCCCGGCTTTTGTAGTAGAACAGCTTTGGCAATGTCCATTAATAGAACGGGAGAGGTTCATTTTTTCCTTGTACTATTCGAACTTGCTCAATTTTGCTATCCGTTACACTTTTGGTCAATTCATGCTATTGCCATTCGGATTATTCGCAACATCTTGTATTTTCCCTTATTATAACAGATCTTTTGTGTGAAACGGATGGATTCCATGTGTTCAAATTTTTTGAGAATAAAGATCCAAGTCTTCTCTAACGAAATATTAGATCAAATGTCTACCAGAGAATAAAGTTGCTCCATTTCAAATTTGACCATTTTCCTTTAACAGAATAGCAACAGGCTAACCTCACGCTGGCAGTCTGGCATACACTTGGAGCAGATTAGAAGGATCAAAGTTCAATATTTACTAATCTCTGCTACTTTCCACCAACACAAACACTGGGTAACTCGGTCCCTGAAAACTTAAGTAGAGGGGAAGAATTCCAAGATTTTCATTCCACCCCATCTTGCCAATCTTGTGCATACAATGCTAGACATATATATAGCTTTATACGCTTTAGTCCAGCAAAAAGCGGGCTTCAACGCGTACTGCTAAGTCATCGCTAAGGTTTATCTAATAAAAAGGCGACTATATATAGTTGTAAATACTCACATTTACAAAAGATTTGATTCAACTAATACTGACCAAGTTTTTGGATGAACTGAACCCAAAAGATTTCGTCATTGAACCAAAACTTTTGATGCATATTCAATCCTATTATAGCATTCAAGTATCAAACCTTAAAGCAAATATGTACCAAATTCTCATGTCAAACACCGCTCCCAAGCAAAACCATCTCAAAAAGAACAAAGCAATTGGAAACAACAACAACAGCAGACTCAATAAAATCCCACAAGTAGGGTCTGAGGAGGACAATGTGTATGCAGACCTTATCCCTACCTTATGAAGGCAGAGAGGCAGGCAACAAAGCAATTGGAGAAAAGGAACATGATAAGAGACCATCCCAGACACTTGCATTAGCAACATGATAATAGATTATAGAAGTCATAATGACCAAAAGTAGACCTGAGATCAGTGACTCAAGTTTATTAACACTACAATCAGGGATACAAAGAAAGCAAATAGAAGTTCCTTCCTCTTATTCCCATTTTTTTCCATACATCTACTCACATATCCATTTACTTGATTGACTTATCTTCTGAAGGCGTTGGCTGACCGGGATGCCACTTCCTACTCGCTGTCAGTATCCATATACCCATACTCGGGTTGGTCCTCTATCTCAGCAGGTGGAGCTTGCTTCCTCAGCTGAAAAAACCAAATTGAGAAGTTAAAAAAAAGGGCAGCCCGGTGCACAAAACATCCCGCGTTCACGTAGGTTCCGGGAAGGGCCACACCCCAAGGGATATGATGTAGACAATCTACTCTAATATAAGCATTAGTGACTGCTTCCACAGCTTGAACCCATGACCTATAGGTCACAATGAGACAATTTTACCATTGCTCCAAGACTTCACTTCTAAAACAATGACTATAAAAATGCAAACAATGAGAAACTTTTTATATGATATTCAAGAGAACCTTGAAGTAATTATCCAGTTTGAATTGCAAAAACTCATTCTCCTGCTTAATTCGCTCAAACGCAAGCTTGCACCTGTTTACATATCTGAAGTCAATACAATCACAATCATCTGCAAAAATAAAGCCATAAATTTCCTCCTTAGATCTTACGCTTCAAAATCTCCACGCTTTAGGTGTTCCCTCATGCAATCGATTTGATGCGTCACTTTTATAGCTCCCATACTGCAAACACAACAGAGTAGACTCAGTTACTAGGGAATACTTTTTTTTTTTTTTTGATAAGGTAAAGATTTTACTAGGCAATACTAAAACAGGATTACAATAAGCCAACAAATTAAGAATGGAGTGGATGCTAATAAGAAAATGCTTTTAAATGTGAACATACCATTGGAAATAGCCAACTGTAGATAATTTTCACAAGCTGCCAAAAGTACCTCTTTTTTACTTCCCCATAAAGCATCCTACATTCACGAAGGGTCCGGAAAAGGGCCGTACCCTAAGGGGTAATGACATAGGCAGACTACCTGATGCAAATATCCATGGCTGACCTATAGGTCACATGGAGACAACTTTACTGTTGCTTCAAAGCTCCCCTTCNAAACGATACATGAAGATGGAGAAACGAAAACACTCACGCAGTCGCCATTCCCTTGAACCGATGAAGGAGGCTCTCTATAGAATGCACATCGTAGGGAGGTGCTTGCCTATATGCATACATATCAGACCTGTGAGAGGGGAAGAAGTTGAAAAAGAAAATTAGAGAAGAATACAAATACTTACAGTTCTGGCACTATTAAGCCAACAAACTTAGCTGCATCCTTGAAATAGTCAGCACAAACATCCTCAAGATAGCCCTCATTGTTGGATTCCAAACGCTCCAGTTGAAGAAATTGCCGATCAAGGAGTTTCTGTATACAAACAAGCAGTTCATTTCCATCACGTGTCTTTTCATTTTGAGTAGAAAGCTCATTCTATAAGTAGCGGTTCAAGAAAAAGGACATGTATAAGCATCCCTCAGCAATTCCAACTTTGCATACATCAAACTTGTTATCGAGAATGTATCCTCATGATCGGGAGTCAAGAAAATTGCAAGAAAATCAAATTTTGGGCGCTAGAATCTGGCACTTTGTCCTTCATTTATCGCTTTTAAGCTAAGAATCATAGTCCTTTGCCTATTAAATTTTTTCGCAAAATTAGTCAATTTTTCTTTTATCGCATCAAGAGTAGTAGATTTCCATCAAGGTACCAGTTTACCCTGCTATCATTGCCACCCTGAAGATGAATGATGGATAAAAGAAATAAAAAGGAAAAAACCTGATCAAAAAGAGAAAGTAGGGAATAGGATCTGAATCAGACCTCGTCGAAAAGTGACTGCCTCAAATTGGCAATGTATCGAGCAAAATCACTTGCCATCCTCGGTAGTATCGAGTTTCTTCAAAGCTAGCAGAGAGGATGTGAAGAGCAAGAAACTCGGTGCAACAAAGCCTTGAACACGAGTACGTTTATATAGGGTTGATGATCCAATGGGATGATATACATGACAGTTGTACAATAAATGAAAAACGACGCACATGTTTGAGCAAGTCATGCAGTTGCCACATTTGCAACCAAAACTGCAGCCATCTGCTTGTCAAAACATCATGAAATTATCACTTCATTACTTCTATATAATCTAGGTAGATTTACCGTATCTACTCTTGTAATCGCATGAAATAAATAAGAGAGAGGTCCAGAAATCCTTATAATGAAATTGGTTTAGGATTCTCCAATTGATTTTCTTTAAATTAGTAAAATTCATTGAATGCACGAACCTTGCACGCACCAAGTTTTCCGAAAAATCCAAGGCTATCAAGCTCGAGGTTATTAAATAAGATAACAGTGAAAGTCTTCCCTTTCTACAAAATATCTTTTCGACCTTTGGAGAACTTCTTTCGTCTCCGGATTTTTTGTTCCATATTTTGCTGAATGCTTATATCCAAAGTTTCCTAATGCATCCCTAGACAACATTAAACTATGCATTGAAATCACAAATTCGACCATTTTGATAGCTTTAGAAGCAGAGTTTCATCTTATGGATACTACCTATAGAAAGTCTTCGGTCAAAATGACAACTAAACATTTTTCACTAAATAGAATTTGCACTCGCATTCAAAAAATATAAGTTAGAAATTATTCTATAACCCAATGAAGAGAAATTAATCAGAATCAACATCTCTTTATAACTAAATAAAGTCGAAGTGTAGCATAAATGAGGTGGTGAATTGAGAGGAATGATATGCTCAAACGACTTCATATACACTGCAGTTCTATGTGGTTTGCCTTTAACAGTGCAGAGATTGATAAGCTCAGAACTTGTATAACCTCATTATAAGGCTTCACTTTAAAATCTTTCTATCTATGATTCTTTACTTTATGATACTGCCACTTAATCCAGAAAAGTGAGAGATGTAAAGAGACAAAAATCGAACCCAACCAAGAAATATCCAACTCAAATGTAATAAAACCAATGCTGAAGTAAATCGAAGTACCAGTAAAATGCTCACCATATAAGAACGATCAACTAAATCGGAACCCAACTTTTACATCCAAGCAGCGAATATTACATTATCGCCAAGAACTAAGCAGTAGAAAGTCTTATAGGGGTACTGAAAATATTGTCATATATTGGATCTTCTCTGAGATTTGTTAAAGGCATGCTTACATATATGGAACAAAGTTCGGTACATTCTCCCTTAGCGATGCCGTAAACCATATTCGATGCACTTTCATCAACTATCTTTTCTTATTTTGTTGCAAACTAATTGTGCTAGTGGGAGGCAATAAGTATCCAGCAGAATAGTCAAGGTGAGGACACGCTAGCTCGCACACTACTAATTTAGGAAAAAAACCCTCCTTTTTTTTTTGAAAAGGTAACATATTTATATATAAATAAAAGACTACACAAAAGCTGTGAAATCACCCATAATTACAAGGAGGCCTAATAAGAAAAGACACTCCTAATCCTTTGTCTTCTCATAAGGATTCTAAAACATCAAAAATAGATTCATGATATTCTAAATATTCTCCTTTACACCAAAAGTAAAAAAGAACTAAATATTTCATTTTCATCTTTTGAATGTTACTGTATCTATCTTCAAAGCATCTTTGATTTCTTTTTTCCCAAATTGTCCACCAGATGCAAGCTGGGACAATCTTTCTCTCTTTATTACTGGATAGGTTGCCTTCTCTGTTCCCACATGTTAAAACTTCAGGTATTCTTCTTGGCATAACCCACAGTATTCCCCTCAAATTGATGAATATCCTCCATAATTGTAAAGTCACTCTATAGTGCAAAAAGAGATGATTGATTGTCTCTGCCTCCTCTCCACATAAGTAACATCTAGAACATAGCTGGAATCCTCTTTTGATCAAATTATCCGGAGTTAGTACTGCCTCCTTTGCCAACAACAATGTAAAGCATGCTACTTTATAAGGAATTTTAACCTTCCAAATCAATTTCCATGGCCAGCAGCCAATCTGATTGTTTGAGATGTTGAACTCCTTATATGCTGCTTTAACTGAGAACTTCCCTTTGCTATTCCCTTGCCATGTGACCCTGTCTTCTGCAGTAGAGGTCACTTTGAATCGTTCCAAATTCTTATAGAATTCTATTAATTTATTAATCTCCCAATCATTTAATAGTCTTCTGAAGGTCAGAGTCCATCCTTGATTTGTCCAAACCTCTGCTACTGTTGCTTCCTGTTGTTGGTTCAGTAAATAAATATCAGGAAAGGATTGTTTTAGTGATCCTTGACCTAACCAATTATCCTCCCAGAAAGATACCTTCAAACCATTACCAATTCTGAAGTTTGACTTGTTAATGATCTTAGGCCACAAATTTCTAATAGACTTCCACAACTGACCTCGTATGGATTTCTCACAAGCTTGCTTATCCATTTTCCTTCCATGCCATACTTTTCTCTGACTACCTTCTTCCATAAAGATTGTTCTTCTGAAGCAAATCTCCATACCACTTTATCAACAAACTTTGATTCTGGATCTTCAAGTTCTTGATTCCCAATCCCCCTTCCTTCTTGTTAACTGTGAGTGAGGTCCATCTAACCAAGTGAATTTTCTTCTTGTCATTATTGCCTTCCCATAAGAAATTTCTTCTCAAAGCATCTATTCTATTTACCACCAGTGTTATTAAAAGTGCTCGCTTCTCGCTTTAAGCGCTGAAGCAACACGAGGCGCTGGGCTATCGCTCTTCTGCCCCAAAAGCGACTCACATTTAAAAAGCGCACGCTTTAACCGAGAAGCGCCTCGATGGAAAAAGCGCAAAAAAGTGTGCTTAAGCGACGTGAAGGCATCTGCTAGGTTTTTTTTTAAAAATTTTTGGCTAATAAACCATCTGTTAACAAATAAACATACGTTCTTCTGCTGCTCCAACGACTTCTTCTTCTTCTTCTTCTTCTTCCTATTTTTTTCACTTTCTAAGCGCTGATTTTGTGCTCTAAAACTATGCTCTATTTTTTGGTTTATTGCTCTATTTTTGTGCCCTAAAACTATGCTCTATTTTCTGGTTTATGCTCTCTTTTGTGTTTTTGTTTTGCATTTGCTTAATATGTTATTACTTTTGAGGATTATTCACTATCTAGTTTTAGTATCTATTATTTGCTTCTTGATTCAAGAATTGAAACATTTGCTTAATATGTTATTTTTAATGAATTCTTAGCCATTTATCTATGCCTATTTTTTTTAATGTATGTGTTAAATTGCGCTTCACATGAAAAAAGCGCGCGCGTTGCTTCTCGCTTCTCGCTTCGGTGAGGCGAGGCCTCATCGCTTTTTTGCGCTTAACGCTTTCCAAAACACTGTTTACCACACTCCCTGGTACTGGGAATAGAGACATCATATATGTGGGCATAGCATCAAGAACTGAGTTTATGAGGACCAGTCTTCCTCCCATGGACAAGTATTGACTCTTCCAATTAGCTAGCTTCTTCTCGCATTTCTCTAAGACCCCATTCCATATCCCTTTGACTTGCTTTTGGCCCCCAAAGGCATTCCCAAATACACAGTAGGCAGGTTGCCTATTTTACCACCAAGAATTCCAGCCAAGTTTTGGAGCTCCATTACCTCAGGATAAACAAAATTTTTATCCCAATTAATGTGTAAGCCAGAAATGGCTTCAAACAGGATAAAAATGACCCTCAACATCTGAAGGTGACCTCTATCAGCTTTACAAAATACAGAGCGCCATCCGCTTATTGTAGATGGGAGATCTCTAGTTGACTACCTGCCCTGGAACTTACCCTGAAGCCTCTTATCCAATTGTTTATCTGAGCTGTCTTTAATATGTCATTCAAACCTTCCATGGCAATGATGAACAAAAAGGGAGATAGGGGATCACCCTGTCTCAAGCCCCTCTAAGAAGAAAAGAAACCAACTGGTGAACCATTAATCAAAATTGAGAATGTCACTGTACTAATGTAGAATTTGATCCAATTGACCCATCTTCCACCAAACCCCATCTTTCTTAAAGTCTCTAGCAAAAAGTTCCAATTCAAATGATCATAGGCCTTCTCAATATCCAGCTTGCATAAAATACCAGGCTCCTTGCTTAGTATCCTTGCATCACACATTCATTAGCAATTAGAATGGCATCCATTATCCGTCTACCTTTAATGCCGTCTGCTAAACATCCACCAACTTGTTCACCACCTTCTTGAGTCTCTCCGCCAACAACTTGGAGATGATTTTGTAGATGCTGCCTACCAAGCTAATAGGTCTGAAGTCTTTCAGTTCCTTGGCTCCAACCTTCTTAGGAATTAAACCCACAAAAGTGGCATTAAAACTTTTCTCGAAGATACCCTGGTAATAGAAGTTCTGAACAGCAACTACCACTTCCTTATTCACCACTTCTTAGCAATGTATGAAGAAGGCCATTGAATACCCATCAACGCCAGGTGCTTTATCCCTGGCACATGCCTTCACACTTTCCCATATCTCCTAAACACTAAAAGGAATTTGAAGCATTTGATTGTCCTCAGTAGTAATCCTAGGACAATTTCTAAAATTATCTTGTGGTCTCTATTCCTCTTCTTCAGAATATAGATTTTGATAGAAAGTGACAATCTCTTTCTTGATAACTTCAGGATTCTTCTGCACCAATATTCCTTCTACTATCAGTTCCTCAATGTGGTTGTATCTCGTGTGTGCATTTGCAGTTCCGTGAAAAAAAACTTAGTATTTTTATCCCCTTCCTTCAACCACAAGGCTCTGGATCTTTGTCTTCATGCCACCTCCTCATGCCACCTTTTTTGCCAATATTGAACATCAACTGTTCTTAGAGCCCGTTTGGATTGGCTTAAAAAAGTGATTTTTCAGCAGAAATAGCTTTTAAGCCGAAAAACAATAAGTTGGGTTTGTCCAGCTTATTACTTTTGACTTGTTTTAAGCAGTTTTTAATTTATTTTAAGCACATTTTGTCTTTGCCAAATATTAAAAAAAGCTAAAAAAAAGCTTAAAAGCTGAATTGACCAGCTTAAAAATCAATCCAAACACTCTCTTAATCATATTATTCTGCTACAATTCACGTATTCATTTCTCATATAGTAAGGAAACCTATACAACAATAACAAAAAAAAAAAAAAAATGTAATCC